AACAACACCATTCTTTACAAACCCTCTTAGATCTGAAATTTTCGCTCATGGGAGACAAGTTAGGATTAACCCCAGTAGGTAGACACGAGATACGCCTGGTAGAGGGCGCTGTTCCTATTAAACAGCGGTACTATCCAGTAAATCCGATTAAACAGAAAATCATTAACGACACCATTGATGAGATGCTTAGGGACAGAGTCATCGAACCATCGAACAGCGGATGGGCTTCACCTGTCTGTCTGATTCCCAAGAAAGACAAAACCTATAGATTTTGTGTGGACTATAGGAAACTTAACTCTTTAACTGAGCGCGACGCTTTTCCTTTGCCCTATATCAATACCATCTTAGACCAATTACGTGACGCTAAATATCTTAGTTCCCTGGACATTAAGTCAGCTTATTGGCAAATAGAGGTTGCTGAGAATTCGCGCCCTTTCACAGCTTTTACTGTGCCTGGTCGTGGTCTTTTCCAATTTCGAAGGATGCCCTTCGGCTTGACTAATGCCCCTGCGACTTTTCAGCGCATTATCGATACCATTTTGGGACCTGAATTGCAACCCAACGTTTTGGTTTATTTGGACGATGTGGTTATTATATCACAAGACTTTGACTCACATTTAAAAATTTTGAACACCGTTTTTGACAAATTAATTGCTGCTGGCTTCACTCTGAATAAAAACAAATGTCACTTCTGCCGTTCAGAACTTAAATATTTAGGGTATGTTGTGGATTCCTTTGGCTTACACCCAGATCCTGACAAAGTCAAGGCGATTTTAGATATTCCAACACCCACTACGGTGAATGATATACGACGTTTCTTAGGAACTTGCGGTTGGTACCGTAGGTTCATTCCTGATTTTTCAACCGTTCTTGCTCCTTTAACCAGACTTCTTCGGAAAAATGTTAAATTTGAATGGACGTCTGAATGTGAGGAATCTTTTCTCAAATTAAAAGAACTTTTGGCAACTGCACCTGTGCTCAATTGCCCGGATTTTACCAAACCTTTTGTCCTTCAGACCGATGCTTCTGCTTATGGGCTAGGAGCTGTCTTGACTCAAACTTTTCCGGATGGGGAGCGAGTGGTATGTTATTTATCCCGATCATTATCCCGAGCGGAACAAAATTACAGCACGACTGAACGTGAGTGCTTAGCAGTCATTTGGGCGGTAGAGCAACTTCGACATTACCTCGAGGGAGTTTCTTTTACAGTCATTACTGACCACCATTCTCTTTTGTGGTTGCATTCTTTGAAAGACCCCCAAGGACGTTTAGCACGCTGGGCTCTTCGTTTACAGCCGTATACCTTTACTCTTGTCCATCGTAAAGGCAAGGACAATATTGTTCCCGATCTTTTGTCACGTACTGTACCTGTGATCGAAGCTGTACATTCTTCAGATGTTACGGTGGATCGGAACGATTTCAAAACTTCTAAAGACCCTTGGTACCTTGGTATGTTTGAAAGATTAGAGCGAAGTCCTCATAAATATCCCGATTGGCGAGTGAAAGATTCGTTGTTGTATAAATATATCAAGTCCGCTTTACAATCTCATGATTATGAAAAATGGAAACTTGTTGTTCCTTCTGATTTTAGACAATCTCTTATACAAGAGAACCACAATAATGTTACTTCAGGACACTTT